ACATTAAGAAGAAACAGTATAAAAATGTTTTTTTTTATTTATAAAAAAACCAAAAAAATGATAACTGGAATAATAATTGTTTTGAATTGAATCCGAAGAAAATGAAAGCGCGCGCGTAGCGCGCGTTGTCTGCTAGTCCTATATTAAAAAAGTCATTTGGACCGAGAAGTCAGCGTTTGGAGTCGAATATCTCGCACCCATTGTTGCCTCTTTTCCGCGTTGCCGATTGGTTAGTTGGTTGATCAAGCCGAATCAAATCGGTAAGATCGAAAGAATAAATAATAAAAGCGATTTGGCTGCTTACCTTTTAGGAGACACAGTCGACACAAGTGCCCCCCTCCGTGGGGCCACGTGCAATGACAGGGGAGGGCTCCCGCCCTGCACCCGTCTGGGCCCCGACACCTTTCACTCACTCCAGGCAGTGGGGTGGGGCACCACTCACCCTCTCACCGCGAGAGGGAGAGGCGGCAGCCGAGGCTACTCGCTCTCGTTGTCACCAGCAGGCCGCGGGGACCTTCGCCGTCTCCTGCGCGCGGGCTGCCCCTGGCCGGTCCGTTCCGCATCCTCCTTGGCGGACATGACTGTGCCACAGAAGGCCACTACTGCCCGCCAACGCCCTGCGTCGCGCAACATGGCGCTGAGACAAAATCATCTAGATTAGATAATATTATCTAGATAATAGACAAAATCATCTAGATTAGATAATATTATCTAGATAATAGATAATTTTATCTAGACAAGATAAAAAAGACAAGATAGATCTGTTTTACAATATCAGAAGATGCGTATTTATTATATTTTGTGAAACTTACAATACAATATGAATATACCACTACATGTGTATACGTGCATTTATTGTGTATTTACTACATGTAATGTATAACTTATATGCAGAACAATAATAAATATCAATAATAAATGTCAATAATAAAATAAATATCAATAAATAATATTGTATATTTTACTTAAATATTTATTTACTTTCTTTTATGGTTGTATGGTACATTTTAACTATATTTAATATAAAGGAGATCACTTTAGAACATCTAGTGTGCGCGTGTATGTGTGTGTGTAGATATAGCGCGGTCTTCTTGTAATAAGGTCGAAAATCACTTAGCGAGAGATAGAATGTAGTCTTCCCTATTGCCATTCTATATATTCTACACGTTACATGATTACATAGCATAACCACACACTAGAATATTCATGTCTGCATATTCTCTCCCTCTTTCTTCAAGTCTCTTACCCATTGACGTAGAAACTGAAATTTACAATCGTCCCCGACGCGACGTAAAAACTTTGTTTCTCTGGAAAATTACTGTTTTTACATTATCGTTTTCACACAAATATTTGAAGTGTGCGAAACGAATATAAGTGTCGGAAAAACGAGCGATGCCGCATTTCTGTGTCATAAAAAAGCGTACACATATAATTTTGTAAAAAAAAAAAAATATTCTTCTTTTTTCATCGAAAGGATCGACGTCTATGCACTCGTACAAAAGTTCGCAAGCGAGAGTTTCGAACTTCGGGTATTACGCCGCCCATAAGAATGATATCCGGTCATTATCCCGTCGTTCGCGCGCGATCGAACGTCGGGAGAATGGCAGGGAAGAAAAAGATTGGCACTTTTTAGATTGGCATGTCGACTTTTCGATCGAGAGATCGCGAATGATGGACTTCCGGTTCTTCCGCGCATTTGCGAATAGTCGGGAGTCGCGGTCGCATTGTCGAGGTGACGAGCCGTTAAGAGGAGAATAATAACGGATGGAGAATCAATTCCGGTATTACAGCAGAGAATACGATAATCTGATCAGGCCCGTCATGATGACCGCCAAATTAATCTCTATTTGGCCGTTGGAGAGGAATCATCGCGCCAGCGCGGCGCTGTTCAGGATTTGTCACTCGTTCTGGTTATTTTTTCTGGTACGTAAAAAGTCGCTAATTTGACAAATTATATTAAAGTGTATAAAAAAAACACGAAATTAAAAAAAAATAAAGAAAAATTATCAATATATATTAAATCAACGTTTAAAATGTGTTTCGCATGTAATTGAATTTCTTGTGAAATGTTTTTTCGATAAATGAACTGTCACCAAATTTCCATGTTGAATAAAGTTTCATGCGAATAATAATCTAGCACGTCATTTATAACGTGTACACACACACACACACACACAGTTTGTTACAATGTGCGTCACCCTAACGGCCGACGTGGTTTACAACTTTGACGACCTCGACAAAATGACGGAGTGCGCTTTGATCTGCTTCGCGTTTTATCTCGTCGTTATACGTCTCGTCGTCTATTTGCTTCATCACAAAGATTTGCAATACGTGGTCGAGATCATGAGGGAGGACTGGATTTGCTCGACTTACGAGGATAAGATCGTCTTGAAGGAAAAATGTCTATTTGCGTTTCGGCTTGCGAAATATTTCATAACTTTGATAGCCGGAACTATAACCGCTTTCGCGTGCATACCAATTTTAGAGGTACGTGGAAAAAACGCACAATATAGTATTTAATAATTTTAACAAGTATATAATTATATAAAATAATATAATATATAACACATATTATAATATAAATAAGTATAATATATATTTTTATACACAGAGTTACTTAAATATTTAATAGAATGTTTAAGAGAAGGGAAAAGTTTTCGTTTGCGCGCGCGCGCGCAAAGCGTTTTTCAAATTTTCGATTTTTACAACAGCAACGAGAAAGCGTCACACCGTGTCAATTAAACACGAAGATCCTTAAATTCTGTCGCGATAAAGCTTAATTCTTTAGTTTTCTTCCAGCCTTAATACTCGAGAACTTCGAAGACGGTGCTCCTCCGTGACGTAACTTTTTAATTGACTCTGTTATTAAATTGTATCTGTAGAATAATTAACTAGCAAGTTTCTTCAAATGTAACTTACTGATAAGTTTTAATTGCAAGCAACGTTCAGTGAAACAAACCCCATCTCAAAAAGCAAGGGGAATTACCTCCGCAGATGTTTTTCTCGAAACGATCGCGATAAATTGACGTGCACAGGATTACGCAATAAATGCACGCGGTACTAAAAACTGCGCGATAATTAACAGTGACACATTTTGTAGCTTCCAAATTCTATTTTTTTTTTTAAACAAAGTACATAGCATTCTCTCCAAAATTGTTTATCGCCGTTTCGCAAATGTTGCGATATCGCTCTTACATGGGGAATTGTTTTCCGATGGTCGTTTCGCTTTACGAGCCTTTCGAAAACACCTGCACGCACGCGTAAAACGTTAATCCCTTAACAGTGTTTTCCCGATATACGCGAGTAATTAAACTGTTAATAAATTATTAACATTTGAGAGATGTGAGTAAAATATGTACACATTGGGAAAGAACATCGCGCACTCGGAGGTCACGACACTTATCAATCAATATTGGATGATAATCAGACATATAGACAAATAGGCAACGTTGTCTGGGTAATTAATCGTGTTAACTATTAAACAATCGCAACGTTCGATCGACCGTATAGACATGTATTCTGGGAACGGAGAGGATACTTCCCTTTCGCGGTCATTTCTTCGTCAATCAGACAGTTTCGCCGGTTTACGAGTATCTCTGCGTCTTCAACATAATGGCCGGCTGCTTTGGGGGTGGCGTGATCGCCGGCGCGACCAGCTTCAATTTCGTCGCGATAATCCACGGATCGGCGAAGTTCGCGTTGGTGCGAAAGAAACTTGAGGCAATAAAGAGCGACGATCCCGACGTCAAGATAGTCGTGGCCAATTGCGTCAAACTCCATCACGACGCTATCACGTGTGTATCGACGTTCTATCTTTGTGGGTGTTGATTAACACGATATCTGCGATATTTATTGTTTAAGTTTCTCAATCGCGCCAATATATCTCTCTCGCTCTTTTCATTTCAGCTTCGCCGACGCGCTCGAGAGGATCATAAACATTGTGGCGTTGGGACAATTCGTTGTCAGCACCGGTTTGGTTTGCTTCGGGGGATTTCAAGTCACTTCGGTTGAGTTTGTTTGTAATAAAAATGTTTAAAACGCATTGAATTGAATACTAACACAATGTCGTTCCAGATGATGAAGAACAAAGTGCGCTTGGTAAAATACTCGGCCTTTCTGAACTCCACCATTCTCGAGCTCTTCATGTTCAGCTTCAGCGGAAACAGATTAATAGACGAGGCGAGTGCAATCGTTTTCTTTTTCAAATCCCTCTCTCTCTCTGTCTCTCTTTTGTAGATTTACGTAATTCTGTTTTTTGTTGTTCAATTTAATACATCGTCGCGATACATCAAGCGCGACGCACAATTTTAACAAGCGACGAAAAGACTCGATGCACGCGGTAATTGCATCAACCGATTACCCGTCGCGTGTATCTTCATTAGCGCACAGTTCACCGATCTCACAATCGTTCTGTAATTAATTTACGGTCATCGCTTGTAACGAACCAGAGCGACGCCGTGAGCGAATCGGCTTACCGTAGCGACTGGGTCGGCGGCACTTTCGGCCGGAGTTTGCAGATCGTGATGATGCGGTCGAAGGTATCTAACAAAATCACCGCCGCGAAATTTTACAGCATGTCCCTCGAAAGCTTCTCTCAAGTGAGTGCGATCGCATTATCAAACAATATATCGAATAGATAATCATCTAAAACGTTTAATTAACGTTTTTACACGCAATTATTCCTTTTAAGGATAAAACATACAAAAAAAAACGCGAAAAAGAGAAAATGTATTTATTTTATCTGTATATTTTTTACGAAACACGAAAAACCACGGATAAATAGTTGCGTTGTTTGCAGGTGCTCAGCACATCCTTTTCCTACATGATGATACTGATATCTATGAAAGAGGAGTAAAAGAGGATCAGGCAGCAATCGGAGAGTACGGAAAGAGGAAAGAAAGAAAAAAGAAGATTTTATTATATCTCACACAGAGAACACGCTAGTCGACACGTTAGTCCGAAAATATCATGCGAGGATCAAAGGAGGGGGAGCACGGCTGCTGCTTCGTCTGAAAGTCAGCGACGCACTTTTAAGATTGACATAAAAGACGGATGAAGCCGTCTTAAGAAGAAACCGGGATGAAGAAGGCCGTACGCGGGGAATGGAATACGCATGAGAAGGGAGACACCCCCGTGATTACCCCCGAAAGTGTCTCTCTCCTCTTCTCTTGTTTTCTATTAAATATGAGAGATACGCGTTCTCTTCCATCTCGAGCGCAGACACAAAGCAAATTGCTTTCTGATTAATTTCCCACGTTGATAGATTCCCCGCGTTAAAGCGCGGTCGCCACCCTCTCCGCGCACAGCACACTAACCCAGTAACTAACTTCGCGCACGAGACACGGACAACTGTGTGCCCTCGTTGCGCAATACGGGGGCAGCGTAATCAACGATACCCGCAACAGCGACGATTCGTCCTTGTCCGTTCCGCCGAGTTTGGTCTTTGCTAAATTACAGGGTGATCCGTAAATCGCGGCTTCTGGTTCACAATGGCATGATTCAAATGGTGGTGAAGGTGAAAGCGCGGTCGTTTGTTACACCGCCGATGAGCGTCTTTCATGCGAGCTTTTCCACAGCGAAAGTACTTACCAATAGAAATGAATGTAACTCCTTTATTTGTTAGATTCTTTGAAATAATATATATATATATATATATTTTCTGAGCAATTTTTGTTAAAAATCGTCAATTTTAGTTTTAAGTATCGAATCTTCGAACGTGTCTGCGAAATTTCTCTGCCGCTGAAAACTGAATCTTTCCCACAGACGTCAATCGAGGTTGCAGAAAAAATTCTTAGATTGTTATATACATTTTATTGCGTTATATATATTTTTTTAATTATTATGTATACACATATATTTTTGGATCTTTAGAGTAGCAATGTTAATTCTAGTGTTTTCGGAGAGTTCTTGAAAAATTCTATATATATTTAGATTTGTTTTCTCTCTCTCTCTCTCTCGAGATCGTAAATTCCCGATTCCGACTTTCTGGAGCATTAAGCTTTGGATAAACTACTTAATTCTCTCGATTCTTGCACTCGCACGAGCCTTTAAATCCTTCGTCCTCGACAGCAACGAGTTTTGGTATGGATGTGTACAGTTCGAAATCGCTTACTTCCACCCTACTAACGAGACCGCGTCGCCGTTCGGTATCTTATGGGAAACGTCTTGTACACATAAATTCACCGACGACTCCCAGTGTTCTCTTTTCCCGGGCCGATGTCGTCGGGCGGCAAGAAGTCGGATAAAACGTTCGGGCGAAACGGGGCACGATGAGTTAGGCCGAAGCTCGCTCTACTCTTCTGGTGGGGTAAACCACGAGCGGGATGGTCTTGGGAAGCGACTCGAGGGTATTTTCATCGCGGCAGTGCAACACGTGCACCCGGTGCAGCCGGTGCACGCATTCACCTCGAACTCTTTCTCTCTCTCGCTCTCTCACTCGGTACCAGATCTCTGCAGGGTCCAGTCAAGGAAGATGCGAGAGCTGGTGATCGCTTCCTGATACATCGTCGTCAATTTCCGATCGACGATCAAACCCCCCAACTCCTACATGGTGAAATTGACGTTCGAGCACGTCAATGGATAACATCAGCGAGATACAGACGGCCGGATGACGCCACTCGTTGTCGTTCGCGACATGGGAATATGGCGAATATCAAGGTGGCCGTGCGCGTGAGACCGATATCTGCTAGGTAAGTATGAGACCGTTTCTTTTCTGATTTTGACAAGACGCTTCTTTCTTCACAGATATCCGAATCGGTCGGTCGGAAATGTAAGCGCGATCATTGAAATGTTTTTAGAACAAAATGAACAACCAATTTCTAAGAGCAATAAGCAATATTTTTGTATAATGTTTATATATAGAGTTGTGTTATATAAATTTCCGTGTTATTTCTCGCGTAAATATCAGATTGATCTTTTTATCTCTTTGCGGTACATTTTACGCGCACGATGGAATTAAAGAGACAATGATAGATAAGTCGAAATATAATTCTGAAGTTCTTAGTAAAAGATTAATACTTTACGTAATGCTTATTGTAAAGATATCGAGATAAAATAAAAAAATGACGAGACAAAATGGTTACTTCGTTGTGTTTTAAGCTGAAACATATTTTGTGCCGCGCGTGTCGCTAATGAGACTGAAAATAGTCCGGTTTGGTTTGATGCAGTAGTTATTCGAGTTGAATTTCTCTCTCTTTTTCTTCGGAATATATATTTCGTTTCAAACAAAAAAGTTTTATAACGATCCATCGTGATAGCTCGAAAAACAATTTTATAAACAAATTCACTTTACTCATACGTAATAATATTCTACTGATAACAAAACACACAACGCAGTTATCTCATTTTTTTCTTACATCCAGAAAATATATATATTTTTTTGTAAAGTTTTGAGAGTGTCGAAATTATCACAGCGAAGAATCGCGTTCTTTCTTTCCACGTTTTCCCGCGAATTTCAAGATGTACCTAATGTGGGTCAAGGTTTATGACTCAACTTCACACTCTGCAAAATATATACGCGTGTGTTTCTTTTACGATTCGAAGTTTGTCCGGAAGAAACTACCAAACAATCGCGCATTTTATTTGGAATACGTAAGTCAAGCAGCTTTAAATCTTTCAAATTTCCAATTTTTCAACTGTTTGAATTATTTGATCTGAAAAATAAAAAAAAAACATTTATATAGATTCTCTTAAATTGTTAAAATTAAGAGATATTTGTTTTGAGTTTTCAGACACTCAAATTTGTGAGAGCCGATTGCGTTTTTTCCTTTGAAATTTTTACACATTTGAACTCTCTCTCTCTCTCTCTCTCTGTCCCTCTCGATTTACGCACTCCTGCGCGGCTTGCTTCGCGCAAACACTTATGAACTCGTTTCTATACTTAGATTACTGGGGTGGTGGTAAAAAGACAAGCGCAAGAGACGGGTAAAGGCGACCGTAGCGGCGGAGTCACCGGAAGCGCAGACGAAAGCAATTGAGCGTCGAGAACTTGAGGACCTTCTCGGACGGTTTCTGTTGCGAGTTATTGCGCTTATTCGCGGTACAAATCGTAATTAAAGCGTGATTCATTGCACCGGTGCGCTGCTCGCTCGCTCGTTCGCGCGCGCGCGCTACAGTAATTTAGGGATGCTTTAATTGTGAACGTCCATAGCTCCACACTGTTGAGAGTTCGAAAAATGTTTCCGAATATTATAGTAAGAATATATATTTTTTCGAAAAAAATGACAAATATATAAAAATGCAAATGCTTTTTAAAGAAAAATTCAGTTTTTGTAAAGTCCATTTTCGAGATTCACCGGTTACTTTATGCTAATTGCGAGGCTCGACTACAATTGGTATTTAGGCTATAGTCGCGGATATTTAAAGGCACAAAATGAGGTCTCACGAAATTCGTTTGCAGCAGGAAATGAATGATTTCGCGCCGAATTATACGTGGCCATGCGAGGAGGAACGCTCAAGTTTCGCTTGTTCTAAAGATACAAAAATACTCAATTCTTCGTTTATGCGTTTTTCACGCAACATAGATTTCTTGAGTTTTAACCCTTCAGTGTCAAATAATGAGTCTCCGAGATCTACTCAAAAGTTTTAAACCAGTGTCTCTACTAGGTATTAAATTAGCGCAACATTTTTTTAAAGGCCATAAAAAAAAATTTTAGGGCTTTAGACAATGAAGAATGTAGAAATCGTTGACAGCGTCCTTCGTTTAATAGCTTTGCGAAATTTGAATTTTGAAGTGCGAAAAGAATCTGAAAGATCTAAGTCTGGACAAGACGTTGCTAGAGTAAAGTCACGTGTTGTTTTTTTCTTCTCCCAGTCACGCGTGACTTTCTTTTAGTCACGTTTTTAAAGACACGTGACTAGAGTAAAGTCACGTGTTGTTTTTTCTATCCTTTCTGTCACGTTTTTAAAGACACAAAGAAGTATCAGATTTTTCTTTAAACGCTTGTATCTTCAAAACTACTCGTGATTTTTTCAATCGATTTCTTTTGATCGACATAGAGTCGTTCAACCTTCCGATTAAAAAAAAGAAATTCAAAAAATATTGCTTTTTGCGGACTTATTCAAACTTAAAGTCGCGTAGATCTCACAGATTTAGTCCGGACAAATCATTTTTTATGTCTGGCACTGAAGAGTAAATTTTGGTTTGCAAATGTGACAGCGCGTGTTTGGAAGAAACAAATCACGCATTTACTCCGTGCCAACGCTTCGATTTTCTTCGCGGCTAAAGAGACACATTGCTCTCGACTGCGCGAGCAAGTTCCATTAATGATTCTGGAGAAGAGAAGATGCCGAAAATACTCCCATTGACTTAGCGTGGGGTTGAGCTGTACGGGGAATCGGGACCACGGCTTTTATGACGGGCGCCAGAAGGGCGACCTTAGGTTGACAGCTGGTGAATCCGTTCCGTTTATAGTCTCCTTCGCTTGACAGGTACGCCTGTATCGTCTTAACGCGTCGGCATTGTTATTTTCGTGCTACGGCGCCGTGAAACACACGAGAAACGGGGGGATATACGCACGTCGCTTTTATCGTATCTTTTATAGGACAAACAATGCGCGCACGCAAGGGTAAATAATTTCTTCCCCGAAAAAGTGTCGCATGCTCCTTAGAAATCTACAAATGTTTATACACATATAAAGAAACTCTGTGAAACTGCTAATTTTACGATATTTTTGTGCTCGATGCAGAATCTTTTACAAGTCAAATATTTAAATATGCATTTTAAAAATTTTTTAAATTTGTACACAAATTCATTCACAGATTGATTACAAGAGGGTATCATTTTAATTAAAACTTTTATTATTAGTAAAACTAATATTTTCTAAACATCCACATAATCGTTTAGTTTGTCAACGACCCCCCGTCGTTGGAAGCGATCCGTTCTTAGCGAGCTTCTCTCAAGCGATTAAAGCGCGAAGACAAATAAACAGAATGAAGATGAACCAACAACCGCGCACCCTGTAATACCATAATACCATAGACCCCATAAAACATCTGTTGCATGCGCTTAAGAGGTTACGCTTAAGAGGTTTTGACTTCTATATTAAAATTATTTCATTGTATTAATTCAACGGGATCTCACTGTGAAATAAAAAAAAAATTTGCATTGCTTTTAAAACATTTCTGAATCTTCTAGCAATTTTATCACATAAGCTTTTTCGTATTGTGTCTCGACAGTTGTTTACTTACACGTTTTAAAGACGGATTGTATCTCTTGCTTGTGCAACACATATTAGGAGATTCGCGGCTGAAACGCGAAGCATTGCACACGAAATCGTACCGGAGCCGCCGATTAGCGACCGAGGGCGAGTTTAACAGGGTCGGGGGTTTATCACGCGAATGCCGGGGTTAAAGTACCGCATTTTGCTTTCTCCCTTGTGTATACGTCCCGCCGCATGCACAAGGATAGGATCGCAGCACGTAATCGCGCTCCTGTCTGTCGCGGCACGCAAAATGCAGCGCCGACTGACCCGAAAACGCGATTGCCCGTAATTCGCGATGCAAGCCTCGGCTTTCCCGGCAGACTTGTTGCACGTGTGTGTCTTCGGGTCGCGAAAGACACTCGAATCCAAAAACTCCTTCGATATTTTATCCGTGCCGTTCGCATTGCAGTTCCAAAAATTGTTAGTGCTAATTATTTATATTGTTGGGTTTTTTTTTGTGTGTTTAAAAGCTTTAGTTTTTGGAACTGTTAAAGTTTTCGATGCTTGTGAATCGATCCAGTGTTTACTTGTTAGTTTTTTATCTAGATACAAGAGAAAAAATACGAAAAGAAACTTGTGTGTGTAAATGAACAACTGTCTGGCATGTAGGTACAAAAATATCTCACGCGAACACATCGAGTCGTATGTGTGTTGCAATTTTACTACCAAAATGTTAAAGCACAAGGGGGATAATTTTTTTTATAAAACAGTCGGAAGCGGCGGTCGATTGCGCGAGGCGCTTTGAGAAAATCGGGCAAAGCCCTCTGTGAAATAACACGGGGGGCCGCACATCCATGTGAACGCGACGCACGATGCATGCATCGCTTTTCGATGAATCGATTCCAATCCATGAAGCATGAAAAAATGTGCTTGGCAAAAAAAAAAGATTAAATGACACAAGAACATCGACGACGGGAACGTAACCACGTGGCGCGTGAAAGAGAGAGGTGGAAAAACGATGCCGGCTACGAAAATGTTGGCGAAGTTGTTTGCGATGCTGCGTTCATTGACCTCTGTCTCTCTCTCTCTCTCTCTCTCTCTCTCTCTCTCTCTCGCAAATGTTTGCGACGATCACCCTCCCGTTATTCTTCGTTTGATCGGTTCAGGTTGGCCGATTTTGCTTGCGCTATTCTGAACTTTTTTTTTACGCTTTTGTCAATTTTTTTGACTCTTGCAGAGTCTCTCAAAACGCATTTGTTTGTTTTGCATTGTGCAGGGAATTAAACTTGACGGGCTCCGAACTAGTGGTACGCACGAGTGAGCCGAACGAGATCTTCCTGACGAATTTGAAGGTGTCCTCGAGCAAGGCCGGAGACAGTCGCGAGAGAATCCGGAGATATGGTTTTGATTATTGCTTCGATTCGTCGAATCCCGAAGCGAGGAATTACGCCACTCAAGCAACGATCTACGAGACGCTCGGCCAATCGATCCTGGACACCATGTTCTCCGGATATAATTCTTGTCTGGTGGCTTACGGGCAAAGCGCGTCCGGAAAAACCTACACCATGACGGGCACGAAGGTACGCGCGCAACTCGCGTTGTTGTTTTTATTATATAATTTTCCTCTGAATTATTTTTCGCGGTGTGCGGATTATCGTTGGAATTTTAATGAACGATCCGCCGCATATTTAATTTCCGCGCTTCCGTTTTGCGTTCATGTACATAAACGCGATGTATAAAATATATATACATATATATACATATATATATATATATATATACATATATATATATATATGTATATATATATACGTTAATCGCGCGATACATTAAAATAATTTGAAACGTTTTTATCAATCTGTAAATTTCACACTTAATTATCAATTTATTGAATGAGAATTTTCGATAATCAAACGCATGAATAATCGAAGCGTTTAGCTTATTTTGGCTTTTAATGCAACACGTCACGAGAAACGCACAAATATACATATATGTGTATTAAATGATGATTTATAAGCGCATTATGGATTATTATGAAGTATTATGTTGCATATTTTATGGACAACATCGACAATATTAATCTTTGTTTTGACGTCACTTCCAAATAAATGGAGAATTGAATAGTGTTCGCAAAAATAGCGAAATTAAAAAGTGTTTTGATGGAAGGGAAGCGTACACTCGCTATTGATACAATTTGAAAGAGAAATAATTTCGGAAGCGCTGTGTCGTGTCAAAAATATCTTTAGACTGCAAAATGTTTATTTTTCGTCGATTTGTTTTTTCAAAAATATCTCAGAATCTTTCATCAAACTTTTATAGAGAAACACATACACACGCACACTCTTCCCCTCTCTCTCTTTGTGTGTGGAAAAGCGCATTTGCGATTTCGAGCACGCTCTCGCCCGCTCGCTAAAACACATTTCGCATTTTATGTCTATTTTATCAACGTTATTTTCGCGCGGCAGCTTTGCAGAACTCTTTTACCATCTGAATAAACCGGTGATGATGTGTTTACGGGTCAACGTGCAATGTGCAAATTGTTTCGATTTATCTCGTAATAAATCTGATTGGCACTTTATTTCCATTTTTCCGGGGCATAATAGACCTCTTCCATGCATCGGCGATTCGTGCCCCTCCCCGTGTGTTTCACCCTGTCAGCATGCCGGTGGTGTTGTTTTCAAAAAGCGAAGGGAACGCGTACCACACACACACACACACACACAGACACATTCTCGCGCGGGCGCGCGCGCGCGCGAGCCGAATTATTTTGATTTATCTCGCGTTTCATTAATACGTCGTGAAACGTTATTTCGCCCTCGTTTTTTTTTGTTTTCCCGCGCACAATGCGGCATGGGGCGCAATCTATTTGCTTTTATTCCGGTCGGTCGGCGTTCTGTTGTCATCAGCGTTGCACCCGCTGATGTTTCGCAATATTCGCGCAAAATATCCGTGTAAAATGTGCACCACGCCGTTGCGATCTGAAAGTGCGCCCGCAGATCCCACACCCGACCCCGATGCGCGTTAATTAATTTCGCTGGAAAATCTTATCAACCTTTTAGCGCGCTCGCTTTTTCGCCAAAGATTATACGCGGATAATTAATCTTCCTATTACTTCGGGAACAAGCTGTGTCCTCTTCGTGAGCGATTATTTCAGCGATCCTCTCTTATATACGAACATTTTGTATAATCCGCATTTCTCCGGAAAACACAATTGCGGAATTTTTAATATCGGGAAATTTGACGATAAAACGTTATTGGCTAATTTTTAGCAAACATATGTAATTAACAAGATGTTCATTGCCACAAATATCGTCGACAAATTTGATTTTGTTAAAATCACTGTAATATAGCGATATCCATCTGCAAAAGTTTACAAAAATTGTACAAACAATTACCGTGCATGAAGAGAAAAGCGTCAAGTTAAAAAAAATTAAACAATTGTAAATAAACAGTAACACACGTTTGAAGCAATTTTTTTTTAAATCACGTTGCACACGTAATAGTTTCTAAACTTCTTTTTTACACGCACATAGTCAACGACTGTATTTTCTGATTTTGTCAAACGTTCAATTGAGTTCGAGTGAACGCTCAATTTACATAGTAGTGTGTTGATTTGACGTTTTCGAATCGCTATTGTACTGGCAAACTAAGTAAAATCGGCATTGTGAATTTTCCGTGAAATATTTAGTTTTCATCAGTTCTAACGCTCTCGTATGTACAACAAGCGAAATTAGATGTATGTTTTGCATAAACCAGTCGATGTATATTTAGAGTTCAAACAGCATCGACCTGATTATCGCTTCTCCTCTTCCTTCTCTTTCTTCCCTTCCTTCCCCTCACTCTTGCAGCCAATCCCATTCGCGAAATTATCATATCGCATCGCAAACTCTAATTGGCTAACAAGAGGGACAGAGGGAAAGAGAAAAAGAGAGAGAGAGAGAGAAAAGAGAGAGAGAGAGAAAGAGAGAGAGAGAGAAAGAGAGAGCGAGAGAGAACGACAGAGAGCAACGTTCTCGTTGCAGGATCAAATCGACGTTCCGTTTCTCGTCCCGAAAATTTCAAACAGTAAATTGAAACTGTTTTTGCGGAATGGCGCTTAATTAAATTGCCTGCCGGTCTCCGACGTTGGCGCGTATTCGCGCGCAACGCGAGGGGATGAGGCAGCGTCCGGGTGCGAGGGGATGCACCATGCGGCGGAGGAGAAGGGACGAGAGCTAGCAGACTTTTAAAAGCGCAGCACGTGTTGCGACCGCGCACGGCGTCACTCGTTTGTTGGGTTTCAATTATAAAAGGACGCTTCGAACGCTGCTTAATAATGCATCAAATTTCAAAATTGACAAGACCCCACTCGTTAAGGCGTCGCGCGTTATGTTTCCGGCCCAAATAAGCTCCATTCACTCGATTTCCGTAAGCGCGTACAGGCAGCTTCTCCAGTGTTCGTCGGTTTTTTTTCTTTTAATTTTCGTCCCAATTATCCCGTGTTTTGTGCGAGAATTTATTATACAAACTTTGATCCAATTAACTTACTTATTTTTAATGCTTACTCTCGAGAGCTGATGTTCCGGATCGAAATTTTCAAAAGTTTCGTGTGCGTTAAATGAGATCTGTTTTAAATTGCACATTCTAGTTACATAATTCTCCCATAAACGATTTATACGGTTTTACGTAAGCGGTCACTCGAATCGAGTACACATTTAATTTAATCCTTTAATGTATCCTAATGCTTACGCAGTAAAATTCTTTTCTCGGCCGACACGTAATCTCTCTTTGGTTTTTCCAGGAGGATCCGGGACTCATTCCGCGACTTTGCGAGGGGATCTTCTCGAGGGTTGAAGAGGAGAACGAGCGCGAGAGAAGCTATCGCGTGACCATTAGGTAAATGTATTGTCCGACAAACAACTTTTTGAACTACACTCGGGAAAATAAACACGCGTGTGCAAAGTTCGCCGCATAAATCCGCGATACTCTAAGAGTAAATTTCCTTGTTTGCTTCGTTCGCACAAAACCCGGAGAAGAAAGTAATCGCTCAATGATTTTATTTAGAGAATCCGCGGATATTTTTTCGCTTATCTTAATCGTTCTTAAAACAGTTAATTAATAATGAATATAACAGTGATTATAGTGTGTAATTTAACGATTATTGTCAGAAATTATACGATATAATCCTCGACATCCTGATACTGCGGCCCATAACGTGATAAGAACGTTGGCGAACATTAGAAACTGTCTTTTGATACACCATCGAAGAAGGAAAAAACTTTTCGATCTCTACTTAAGATGCTCGAAGTACACCGATAGTTCGTACTAAATATTCAGGAAGATGCTTGCGCAAACCGCGCTCTACGTGCCTTTTCCTTTTTACCAACGGAAGTTCACTCAACCTTGCCGCATCAGACTCGATAAAATCTGCTTGCGTCCTTTTATTTTCCCTGCGGCTGGCCGCTCTCGAACATCGCTCCGTGAATTTTCCTCGCATTATTATTAATTCTTTCCGAGCGTTCAGCAACGTTTTTTTTTGTTTTTAGTTTCTTTATATTTTCCAAGTTTCTTTATGGTTTTCGATTCGGCGAGTTTGAAGAAGTAAAATTAGAAATAGGTATATATATTATGGTGTCAATTGCACCTCTTTGCGTTCTTATCTGCGTGCGAGAGACACTTTTCTTGCGCGAAAAAATTCCCAATAATCTCGCAAAATACGTGGGATTTAATAATCAGAAATACACGATATTGTCATTGTTACAACATTTTGGAAACTGGTGTTTCAATTTAATCACACGCCGTGCGAGCCGAGCACAGAGATAGCCTTCGGAGCGCCGATAACCTGTCCGCCTTGATAACTGTGGGAAAATCAGCACCCTCGGTGCCCTTTCCTCGCGCAAACACACCAGGTGAATACATATGTACCTGTACAAGCAAAATGTGGATACACAGGATGATCGAGAAGTCACGAAACTCGCAAATGTAAACGTGCTACGCGCAACGGCATACGTGCAACGATATTTATGGAAACGTGTATGAATAATATAAAAAAATTGTTATAACAACGAATGAGTGTGTCGTCGGAACGCTAAACAAAATTTATAGTTATCCCCGCTTGTTCGTGCTTTCGCAGAATTATGTTATCAAGATAAAAAAGTTATAGATGCGGTTAAATATCGCGGGTCATAAATAATTTCGTCTTTTATGTACATTATATGACATTTTTTAAAAATAAAATTGTGTGCGTATTGTATGTTGTTGCAAAACACTCTTCCAGCAAAATAATTAAAATATGCTGTACCGCATTCACAGTAACTGAAACAACTGTGACAATGGAATATTTGACATTGTACGTATTGTAGCACGTATTATACAATATTAAGGTTAGCACGCAGTGCTGTTACAAATTAACCTGTAAGCCTGTGCGGCTTCTCTTTCCGATCATTCTTCGTATGTTGGCTATCGCACTATACTCGATGCAAAATCCGCGCTTGTACCCGACGAAAACATTCACGGCTGTCGGTCAAGGCCCGCCAATCGGCGAGCTTTTATCTTCCATTATCATCGATAGCATCGAGCTCGTTTCCTTTCGTGTCGACGATCACACAAAGTCGTTTCGCGGCGCCTGATTCGCCATCGCGAAAATCGCGCGGCTCGTACAACAATAACGTCGGTGCCCCAACACGCAGCGAGGAGAGAGAGAGAGAGAGAGAGCTTTCGGCCAGCAGAAGCTCCCACAAGTATAATAATGACAAATTGATACTGCATCGAATCGCTGCGGGATTTGCGAAAATCGTTTCGCGTGCTCCACCGATCTATCGCCTTCGGCGTGCGCGGATTTACTATTTATTCCGCTTTAATCGCTTTCACATTCTCGCGTCCCGTGTTCCGAAATAGCCCGCACTCGCGGGAACAAATCGGTCGCGATAATTGCCAATCGGCAAAAATCCGCCGAGACACACCGCGCGCGCAGTTCGTGACGCGAATAAATGGATAGTAGTTCGACTTCACGTATTTTTGGCAGCCGTTGAATTTGCAACCGCCGTATAAAGTCGAGGATTAATTTGAAAAAAAAAAAAAAAAAAAATTGCAACTACTCTCTGATATTTCTTCTACGCGCAGAAACATTAATATGCGCGAGCTTGCCACGGTTGAATTCAAGACGGGAGACTCTAAATTCTTTATAATCGTATAAAAACAAAAAATTGTTGTCCAAAATTGCAAGAACGTTTAATATCCGAAAAAATATAATATTCTAATAATTAAACAACTTAGATAAAAAATAATATTTGCACAACATAGAATCTCGAGATTTAAAGAAGATTGTAAAAAGTTTTACCAATTTTAAACATCACAATATTACAAAAAATATATTATCTAATTACTTGTAATTGATAGAGATCGGTGATTACGATCTTAAAGCGAAAGTCGTTCAACGCGAGAATTCACGAAAGTCTAGGAAAAAGTACTACGAGTAAGGTGAAGGGTTGCAATGAGCGGTGGAAGGGAGAAACGATAGAGACGTAGTATAGTCGAGCGGGCTTACGAGTCGCGAGGGCTTTGCAAGCCCGGTCTGTTGGCCTGAATATGTCTTGCAAGCTCAGTGCCTTGTGACTCGCAATCCCAGACGGACGCGATCTTGCTCTGCAGCCCGGGTAAGAATGCACTTCGGGAACGCGCATCGCCGAATTTCCTTGTGTTTCGCGCGAGTTTGACTTCCCGAGAATCCGCACGATCTTGCCCGACACATTGACTCCCGCACGCTAGACGCTTTTGTGGATCTCCTTGGATTCTGCGATCCTCGAATCTTCGGAGACGCGCTGAATAAAATTTCCCAAAGTTGATAATTGGTATAAAGTTTTTTACGTCTCTGGAAAAAATGTTAAATTTTGCATATAGTTATAGATTCCTGTGTGTGAATCGGTAGATAACATCTCGCTTTTGCCTTATCGTGATAAATTCGCGAATCTTTCTTAAGTGTTGCATTTTGATTATCGAACGTCGCTTCTTCTTTTTCTTTTGCGCGGCTCTTGCGGAATGAGGCAAACGTGATGGCCCGCGAGGCATTTGCATGTGATCAGTATTTTCTTGTTTGTTTTTACAGCAACAATATGTAGAATCGCTTCTTTAATTCTTGTCTGCATTTTTTGTGTTTTTTGTTTGTATTGAACAGAATGTATGATTTTCCAAGGTTTTGTAATAATTGGAAAAAAAATTACGACGCGATAGTCGTCAAATTTGTTCGAAAATAAATGACAGATTATAAAACGGTGTTAAGGTTTTAAATCACATAAAAAATAAATTGTTTCATTATCGTCGTTATTATACGCGCATATAATTTCACAAATATACATGAAACGGCGGCTTCGTTTCGCGTTCAATTAATATCTCTCTTCCCTCCCGACAATTAAGCGCGGCATTTTATTGCGCGCGGGAACGGATCGATCGGAGATATAAAAGTATAAATGATAAACGGTCTTGGTATAATGAATACGATGAAAAAAAAAATTCAATAGTACGTTCTTTTTTTCGGATTTTATTTCAAGTCTTGAAATACTAATGACCTGAAAATGAACATTTCGCATATTCAATAATAGAAATAAATAAAAGAGGAGTGGAGATATAATAGAATAATACCTAATAGAGAAAAAAATTCTGCGTATTATATCCAATATATGTATATATAACAACAAATCGACGATATCGACAGGGAAAAATCCTTACTGACAATTGAAAGAAAAGTGTTTCAAACATTTTCGATATTGACATGAGCGCGCGCATTTTGCGATACTATATTGCTTTAATGTGAAAAAGCGAAATCAGTCGCTTATGGTTCTGTTTTTGAGGCCGATTCCATCGGCCTGTCAGCGGCCGGACGTAAAATCGTTAAGTGGGTCGAGCCGAGAAAGTTTATCGGAGGCATTTCTACTTGCCGTCTGTTTAGGGGTAAATTAAATTCACTAGGGCGCGTCGGGAAAGAACGGACACGCGTCGCCGAAACTTTTACGCTCGCGCTCTGAATCGGGAGCGAAATGTTTTTCTTTTCTCTATCGGAAAAAAAAAAAAAATACAAATACTACGATACCCCGAGATTTATCGAATATGCATTACCGTCACGTAAAAATGCTACTACGTGCCACGTGTCCTAATGAAAAATATATGCGCGCCGCATGCACAATTTTTTTTGTATTCTTTGTAAATAAGAATTTTGATTTATTTATAGTATCAATGTCGGTCTAAATTCTCGTAAAGGATTGTATATAATCGCTCCGTGTGTATCACGACGAGCAGAATAGCTGACTCCGATGTTTCATCGGAATTAATCGCGGCGATAATGGACTGTTCGACGCGTTGTGTGTAAAACGCGCGCGGCAAGGGTGGCGCGCCTCGTAATTGCGATCGATATATCGGCAAGTACGACGGAGGAGACGGCGGCGGGGCGGTGTGTACTTGTGAAAAATCGGGGACGCGCTGCGCCGGCTTCCGACTTGAAAAAGAGCCGGAAGTCATCGTGAAATATCGCATCGCTGTCGCGGGATTAAATGTGTGTTAACAGCGTCACGGAACTCGGGCGCAATCGATTCCGATGCGGATTCATCATTGAAACGCGCATCTATAATCGATGGACGCATTAACCCACTCGAGTCAGCTGCCCAATGTACCTGTCAAGCGTGATTGATCGGATATAAAGCTTCATCCGTAATCATCAAACAATACAGCCCAAGTGAGACGTATCGCAAGTGTAGCCGACGGATGGAAACTGACTGATGTTGTAGCGATCCGCGCGCGCGCGGATGTTAACGCTTTTAACCGGAATTAAGGGATGAGCGCAAAGTTGCAAAACAATATACATTTCATGGCGCAGAAAATATTACAAAAAAGAAAAAAAAAACAAA